AGAAAAGTAAGCTGTCAATCTTCTTTGAAAGTAATGCATCTTTTCCCCCCTTTTGTCTGCCTTTGTTTTGTCTTTAGTTTGTAGCAGGTTTACTATGATATGGTTTTTTCTTTATCCTTCTTTGATTTTCTGAGCTTGATTAAATGTTACTCCTACCCCATTCTCTGAGACTCCAGTTCCACATTCGTTAAAACATTTTGTGTGCACATGGCTCTTTCCATTATTGTTTCCTCCCTATGCTTCAATATGTATTTTTTTCTATTGACCTGTCTTCCAGTTCACTAATCCTTTTATTGTGAAAAATCCACTATTACATCCATCTAATGTGTTCTTAATCTCAGATAATGTATCCTGTTCTAGAATGGCTAGAATGCAGTTCTAAGACAGCCTAGAATGTTCATTTGGTTTATTTTTTAGATTCCAATTTTCTGATGAAAAGTCTTCATCCTTTCAGTTGTTTTTTTCCATAATTGTTAGTTATTTTAGAGTTCTTAGCAGCTAATTCCAATAGCTGGATCATCTGTGGGTCTGGTTACCTTGTCTCATTTTTTCTCTTGGTTTTTTGTCATATAGACCTGTGTCTTGGCATGTCTAGTAATTTTCAATTCATTGCAAGGTGCTAGGTGTAAAAATTTTAGAGGCTTTTGGTGGCATCTTCCTCCAGAGAGGGTTCATCTTCCGTTCTGCATGAATAATAGAGAGTGATCACTTTAATCCAATCAGGAGCCATGCTAAATCAAGGCTATTTCAAATCTTGGTATAAGGCTCATTCTGGTTTGCCCCGACATTGGGGTTTTCTAATGATATAACCTAGAATATTCTCCAGAGCCCTTTCTTCTGGCAGGTCCTGAATTCTAACCTTTGTGCCATGAGGCTTTTTGCTTAATTTTGTGTTCTGTCCTGAACAGCTCCACAACTTTGCAAATTTTCTGAGGTGAAATTGTCATTCTTTGAGTGGTAATCAACTCCACAGCAACAGGTTTGGTTTTTTGGTGAGGCTCCTCCATGTTTGTATCAAAAGCTCTGTTGGTTTTTGTCCCTTAGAAGCAAGCCAAGGGGCCCTGGTGGCACAGTGGTTAACTGCTCAGCTGCTAACTGAAAGGTCGGTGGTTTGAACGCACCAGGGGCTCCATGGGAGATATGCTCCCATAAAGATTACAACCTAGAAAACCCTATGGGGCAGTTCTACTCTGTCCTATAGGGTCACTATGAGTCAGAATCCACTTGAGGGCACATAACAAGTAAGCCTTGAAGATAAAAAACAAAATTAGCCTCTAGCCTACAATTAGAATTGTCAAATGCCTCAGGCTAAAAGCAGCTCCAGAGGTCAGTTCCTCTCTGGAGTCTTGCCTAAGCAGGTTTCCACTACCTTCAAATAGATGAGTTCGACATTTTATCCAGCTTTTTCACTGGAGGTGATGGTGGTGAATTTGGTAACTGCTAGGAACTAGTGGGAGCCCTGGTGGCACAGTGGTTAAGCATTCAGCTGCTAACCAAAAAGTCGACAATTCTAATCCACCAGCCGTTCCTTGGAAACCCTATGGGGCAGCTCTACTCTGTCCTATAGGCTTGCTATGAGTTGGAATCGTCTTCAAGGCAATGGGTTTGGTTTTGGTTTCAGGAACTAGAGACAGTTGTGTTGCCCATTCTTTCCCTTTCTGAATTGTCTACTGGGTATGTAGGGGCAGATATTTTTATCTTTTCATTTATAAATCATTAGACACTAAAGAGTCATTTTAAGACCTGATAAAGAGAGTGGTACATTTCCAGTGTGGGATGCAGTCATGGACGGAGGCTTGGAGTTCATTCCCTTGTGGATAGATGAGTGTCTTCCATAATGGAAAGCTGAGGCACACACACTTTGTAGCCAAAGAGGTGGAGCATGACAGACAGGTAGTTGTCCCTAACATGTACTTCCCGTCTTCCAATTTTTGGCTATAGACTTAGTCATTCAGAATGGAGACATTTCCAAGCTTCTCTTCAGCTCCACGTGTTCATGTGACAGAGGCCTGACAAATAAGCAGATGTGTCATGTGGCAACTTAAAAAATTGGTGCATGCTCTTTTCTTTTGTTTTCCTTCCTCCTGGACAAAATGTGTACGTGATGACTGGGGCCAGAGAAGCCATCTTAGATCATGAAGTGACTGATGAAACAGGAAGATGCAAGTCTGGGCCTCTGACCACTTTGGGGAGCACAACCCTTATACCAGCCCTGGACAACACACTACAAACTTTTACACGAGAAATACATTTCTAACTTGTTTCGGCTATTGTTATTTTGGGGTTCTATTACTTGCAGCTAAGCCTAATCTAAACTAATAAAAAGAGGTCAGGGCAGCAGTTCTCAGAAAGTGTGGAAGAGCTGTGTATGGGCACCGATGAGTCACTGAAATGTTTTTAGGGAGTCTGTGAAGTCGAAACTATTTTCATAATATGCTAAGACATTATTTGTCTTTTTCACTGTGGTGACACGTGCACCGATGGTGCAAAAGCAATGGTGGGTAAAAGCACCAGCACCTTAGAACGGATCAAGGCACTAGCAGTCACTGTATTCTTCATTACCAGTCACTCACAGTTAAACAACAACAACAACAAAAAAAACTAGTTTCACTCAGTGTCCTTGATGAAGCAGTAAAAAATTTTTTAAAATCTTGACTCATAAGTAAATGTCTTTTTGATATTTTGCATGAAGAAATAGAAAATTGTGCACAAAGCACCTCTGGGGATATCAAAATATGACGGTTGTCTTGAGGAAAAGCATTTGTAAAATTGTAACTAGGTTATTCAGACTTGAGTATTTGGCAGACATTTTCTTGAAAACGAGCTAATTGAGCTGTCACTTCAAGGAAAACAACCGACAATATTTGTTGCCAATTATAAAATTTAAGCTTTCAAGTGAAAAGCAGAATTTTGGAAAATCTGTGTCTGGCCTCTGAGATTGACAGCTTCTCAAGAGAAGACTGGTGAGACTGGTGGTGATGTTAATAAACGTGATTTTTTTTTTTTAATTTCATATAATGGAATGTGTTAACACTTGGAAGATCTGCATTAACTCAGTGAACCAATATTTTCCAAACGCTGAATCATGTAAAATCATGCATAGGAAAAGATCAAATTGCAAGGTAGACTAATGGATTTTAATGTAACTGAATATAAAATTTCATTGATATGGTTTCAGATTCTACACTGCAACTAACCTTTCAGAAAGTGCCACTTGGTTCAGTTTGGTGCAGTGTCCAAGAATAATACCCACATTCATCTAAAGAGGCTATTAAAATATTCATCCCTTTTCCACCCACTGTTGAGCTGGATTGTCTTCATATACGTCAAACAAAACAACATATTAAACAGATTGAATGCAGAAACAGATTTGAGAATCTGTTTCTATTAAACTAGACATTAAGCCAAAAAAGTAAAACAAGGCTACTCTCCTCACCAAATTTATTTTGGAAAATAATTATTTCTCACAAAAATATGTACTAAATTAGTTATGTTAACATGAAATGAACTGTTATTTTTCATTAAAAATTTTTGCAATTTCTCAGTTTTAATTTCTAATACAGTAAATAATTATATAACCCTCATGAACAAAAGCTCTTTGGGAATCTCAATATTTCTCCAGACAGTAAAGGGGTCTTGAGGCCCAAAAAGTTCGAAAACTTTTGGTTTAGGATACCGAAAAAATTTGTGATAAAATCACAAACCTGTTCTGTTTGTGAAATCACGAGCGTACATTTGCTTCTGTGTGCTCTTTCCCCACCTGCACACCCCATCGAATAAGCTTCATGAGGGTAAAGACGTTCTGGTTGTTCACTGTTGCATCCTCAGTGCCTGGCACTGAGTTCAAGTTCCTAGCACACAGGACGTAGTCAAAAACACAGGATTTATTAAATGAATCTTCAGATTATAAGTACAATTTTCTTAGGTTAATAGAGGAGAAAATGACTCTGTGAATCTGGAGGTAAAGAGAAACCTAAGCAGAGAACAGACGTTATAAAGTACGTGCACCTGATGTTACAAGTGCATAGTAGTTAAAAACATGGGTTTTACATTTAGATACAGCTAGATTCCAGTCCCAGCTCTGACACTTACTATCAGCAACGTCTTGGGCAAATTAACCTCTCCATGCCTCAATTTACCCAGTATAAAGTGGGGATAATAATAGCACCGACTTAACATTATTATTAAGGTGATAAAATGACACAATGTGTGTTAAAACAGTATAGTACATAGCAACAAATAAGTGCTTAATAAAAGGGCACTAACATTATTTATTATTATTATTAGCCTATTTTCTGATATTTCTCAAACAATTTATGGTTAGACTAGCTATCTTGTTCCTAAGTCCATATAGCTGGGAAGCAGCAAATTAGGGAGACACAGCGGGTGCCAGAAGGGAGAGCAGCAAAATATGGAAGGAAAATAAAAAACTATGAAAACTAGATCCCAAGGTATTGTATTACAGTATAATAATAATGTCCATGAAGATGATACTAAGTCATTAAGAAAAATTTTACATTTAATATACTGCTTTAAGATGGCAAGAAAATATTTTTAAAATTAAAAAATACTTCAAAATGGTTTAAACAAACTTTTGTTATTTAAAAATAAACTTTCATTACCTTCAAAATTCATCTTATAGAGAAAAGGAATAAAGTAAATGAGGCATTAGTATATAAATAGCTTGGCTATCTCTGCTGTAAATACTCATCAATGTGATTTATTCCAATATCTCTAGAGCTTTGATGTCCTATTAAAGATCAAATTATCTCAATATGGGATCACAACCTCTCACTCTGTAGTGTTGTATCTCAATTGTGGATATCAGCAGGTGGTAAACAGTTCCATATTACTGTCTCAGGGACATTTCCACAACCCTTGTAACAAGTCTGTGCTGATGTATCCTATTTTCTTTAGTGACAGAATAACCAGCATAACCAGGACTGTTTGAGATTAGGAAGAAAATCAAATTTTAAAATCAAGACCACATTCCAAATTTCTTAAAAGATATTTTTTTTGTTCAATTTGTCTTTGTAAAAACACTGGTCACCATTTAACATACAGTGGCAACAAAATGCACTCAATTTACATGCATCAAGTCAATAAATCATAATACACAGACAACATGAATTTCAAACAGTACTAAAGTAGCTCATGTTGCATTTAACCATAGATCTAGTACTTCTAATAGAGAAATAACTAACATGGGAAACAAAGAGTTCCAGTTTCAATTTGAAAACTGTAACAAGTAACATAAAATAAGATTATATGAAGTCATTACCTTTATTAAGGAGAACAACTCTTCAGAAATCACTTTGTGCAAAGCACCATACTAGCGTAGAATAAAATCTTGACTAATGCGTATCTTCGGTCAACAACAAAAGGGTTTTTTTTTTTTTTTTTTAATCAATTACCTGAATGATTCAATTTTTTTTATTTTGTCCATGAAGTAAAATATCTTTCAATATGTTTTAACACCTTTAGTAATTTTAAAGATATTCAACTGGCAGATTCTGTAGGACTGAATTATGTTCAAAAGCAAAAGAAAGAAATCAATTATCAGAAGCCCTTTCTAAACTCACAGGGGCAAGATTTCCGGATACAGGATTTGGGATAAGAAAAAATTTTAAGCACCACAATAAAATACCTTCTTAGAAAACAGAAAGGACTAGCAGTATACAAGTCAGGGACAAAAGCACTTGAACACTGACATAAATATGTTAATTTTTTTTTTTTTTGGTATATGTGTGTGGAATTATGTGGAAGATACAAATCACAATTCTGTTTAAGATCTTAAGTTCTATAATTCTGATTTGATCAAATGAAACTGTCAAATTTTTGTGTATAAAAAGAATGTAATATATTTGTTTTTATACTGTATAACTCTTTTTCTATTTTCCCTCAAAGCCCATGATGAAAGGATAGCACTGAACCATTCTGAAATGCACAGGAGAGAATTTACGACAAATTGCTTTGTGGAAAAAAGTAGCTCCCCTGAAGATAAGAGCTCTAATACGTGCAAACGAAACTTTAAGATTGCTGTACATACAACTATCCTGTGAGTTTCTCTTCTTTTGTATCTATTTTGCAGCATAATTTCAGTTGCCAATGACTTAAATTTAAATTTAATAATAATAAATTTAATTTCTCTCCTTCATAATGTGTTCAATTATTCTTACAAGTGAGAATAATTTTTAGCATGTATAACAGAACACATGCTAAAAAATTTTAAGGATTCAAAAAATTAAAATTAATGATTCCTACATGGTTATACTGAAGTCACAAATACAAGACTAGAAATAAATAACTTCAACCTGAAGTATGCTTTAAATACCACAAAAGAAGTACAAAGACCAAAAAAGGAAGAAAGGATTCCTCCTGTGTAATTTTTGACTATTAGACGACATAGCAAAAAAAAAAAAAAGTAAAATATTTAGTTTTCACCTCAAAAGAAGTTATCCAGAAATATAATTCACTAAACAAGATATAATGGCATCAAGATTATGAGTATGGAATATTCAGACTCAATCAATTCAGATGAGAAGAAAACACTTTGAAAAAAAAAATCCTTCTCAAATACAATTTGTATCTCACTAACCTTACAAACATCTCTTCAACTTCACCACTTATAACCTAAACCTTCTATACAAGTAGAAAACCTCGTATAAAAAACCTTTTTATACAAGTAGAAAAGCTCTCATTTTCCACTTATATAAAAAAATGTTTTAGCTTCTTAATTTCCAAGACTCACATAAAATCCTTTAGTTTACCCTAATTCCGCAGTCTCCCATTAAAAAGACTCTAATAACTTTCTTCATGTCAGGAGTCAGAACTCACCATATAATTATTCAAAACTGGGAAATAAAAGATAAAAAAATCAACTAGAAATACGCACACTTGTTAATGTACGTGGTTTTATGTAGTAGGGAGGCCATGATAATCATTCTTCTCAACATTTGGCTCTTAAGACAGTAAGGTCAGAAAACTAAAATGAGTAATAGTTAAAGGTCTTTAAAAATTGTGTCCATTTTAAATGAATGTGAGAATTAAGAAAATGACTGAAATTATATGATTAGATATGTTTACTGTGAAACAGCACAAATTGATGTTGCCAAAAAGAGAGTTAAAAAAATCTTGAACTGATATTAAACATCTTAAATAATTTGGAAAAATCTTAAGGTTAAATTGTAACTATCAGGGAACAACAACAAAAATGCTTTCATGCATGTACACATTAAGTAACAAATAAGCAAACCCCACGTCAGCATAGTACATCAATATGACTGATACTTAAATAATATTTTTGAAGTGTAAAGAAAAAGAAAAGGTAAAATGTTGACAGCCAGTGATGAAAAAGTATTTTCAACAACTTACATAAAATATTACTAAATCATTTTTAAAAAAGAAGTCCTAAGGAGATCAAGCCACAATAAGTTAGTGTTTCCCGTAATACATGCTGAATTATTTGATCCCATATCTATACACAGTTACTGTCTTAATTCCTAAACGTTGTGACACATATTTAATAATTGAGGTACATTAGTTTACATCTTTTTATAGATATTCTAAAAGGGTTAATTTTTCTCTTCCAGTTTTTCATCTTCTTCACCTCCTCCAAAGAAAAGCAAAGGAAACATTCCTAATATGCAGCCAATAGTCACCCCAACAGCTTTGCCCTAAGGAAACAAAAGAGAACATTAAAAATAAAAAAGTTACTTTATCCCTGAAAGAGGCATCCTTGCTTAATTAAGTATCTATGAAAATAGACAATTACTATGTACTATAAAATTCAACTGTGGCTTTATTTCTTATCATAATTATGTAAGTATAAAAATAAGCTACCAAAAGGTTCTAGAACAAATAATTTAATTTAAAGTCCTGAAAAGCAAGCAAGAAAAATGTTTTCTTCAAATTGCTATAAAAAGAACATTAAGGAAATATTCAAGTAGAAAAAATACTTTTTTAAAATTGTACATACATTTTAACAACAGAAGGTAGTGGGAAAAAGCCTCACTCACTACTCTCAATATATTTGCTACCACTATATATACTGCTCTTCAATATTTATACTTATGTATATCTAACTAAAGGAGCCCTGGTGGCACAGTGGTTAAGCGCTTGGCTTAACAGCAGTGTTGAACTTGGTCACGTTTTTCTGTGTCAATTGAGATCATGTGATTTTTTTTTTTTTTAATTCCACTGATATGGTATATTATATTAATTGATTTTGGGATGTTAAACCAACTTTGCATTACTGGGATAGTCCCATTTTGTCACAGTGTCTAATTCTCTTTATATGTTGCTGGATTCAGCTTGCTAGTATTTTGTTGAGGATTCTTGCATCTGTATTAATAAGAAATATAGGTTTGTCATTTCTTTTCCTGTAATATCTTGTCTTGGTTTGGTATTACGATAATACTGGCCTATAGAACAAGTTGGGAAGAGTTCTTTCTTCTTCTATTCTTTTGGAAGAATTTGTAAAGAATTGGTATTAATTCTTCTTTAAATGTTTGGTAGAATTCATCAACCAAGTCGTCTGGGTCTGGGCTTTTCTTTGTAGATAGTTTTTTGATTATTAATAAAATCATTTTACTTATTATAGGTCTATCAGATTGTCTATTGCTTCTTGAGTCAGTTTTGGTAGTCTGTAGAATTTGTAAGGTTGGTGTAATATCCCTCTTTCATTATTGATTCTAGCAATTTGAGTTTTCTTTCTTTTTTTCTTGATCAGTCTAGCTAAAGTTTGTCAATTTTGTTACATCTTTTCAAACAGCCAACTTTTGGTCTCATTGATCTTCTTTATTGTTTTACTATTGTCTATTTCATTAAGTTCCTCTCTAATCTTTATTACTTCTTTCCTTCTGTTTGCTTTAGGGTTAATTTTCTCTTCTTTTTCTAGTGTCTTAACCACAACATCAGGTTTGTTTATCGTCTGTCTCCCCGCTACTGGGGAGGGAAAGATACACTAGGGAAAAGATCTTTTTTGTTAACTGGTATATTCAAAACTCCTATATCTATACCTGACATATAAAATCAAAACACCAAACCCGCTGCCATAGAGTCGATCCTGACTCATAGCGACCTTACACAACAGAATAGAACTGCCCCCACAGGGTTTCCCAGGCTGTAATCTTTACAGAAGCAGGCTGCTACATCTTTCTTCCATGGAGCTGTTAGCGGATTCAAACCACTGAGCTTTCAGTTAGCAGCTGAGAGCTTAACCACTAAACCACCAGGGCTCCTCACCTGACATACAGTAGGTAAATAATAAATATCGGATGAATGAATGGATGATGATACCCATCATCTCTAATTCTGACCTCTCTGGCTCTTGGCCTTTAAATCAAATGCCTACTAGGTGTCACTGCTTGAATGTCCTACTAGCATCTCAAACTCAACATGCTCAGAACAGAACTCATTGTTTTCCCTACAAACTAGTACCTTCTCCTTTTTCCTTGACTTAGCTGGTAGCATCACGATCCATCCAGTTTCCTCCCTCTTTAAAACTCTTTGCTGGCTTTCTATTATCCAGGCGTGAGTTTCAAGCTCCTTACCATAGAAAATACAATGCCTTTCCTATCATGCTTACTTCTTCAATGTTGTTTTCAACCGCTGTTCTACATATTATATTCCAGCAATGTCTAATTTCTTGTCTTTTTCTCAACACATCCTGTTTTTGTCATGCCCTTGTACATGCTCATCAACATACCCAGAATGCTCTGTTTACCTGGTAAATGTATCATCAAAAATTAAAAAATCAGCTTAGATCTAATAATTGCCAAGAAATCTCCCCACCAAAAGAATCTTCTCCCCACAAAGTGTTAAATTCCTCCACTTTGGGTATTTCTGTATCTGGTGCACACTTCTATTACTACAAATGTCACTAAATTATAATTTGTTTACATGTCTGGCTCTCCATCTAAACAAGTTCTCCTAGATTAAGTATAGTAAATTATCTGTTTTAAGCTCTCAGTCTCTAGCACATAACAGAAACTCCTTAACATTAACTGAATTATATAAAGTATTTAAAAAAAAAATCAAGTACATCTACAAAAATATAAGAGGTCAATTTTCTAAAAAAATTCTTCTGTAACTGCCAAAGTCTAGGCAATTTTTGTTGAAAATTTCATTCAAATCAATTTTAGTCTCAAATTTATCAAGAGACTGAATGATACAACATCTTGCCCTAGCAACCCAAATTCATGATCATAAACGACACAAAGTACTTACCAAATGTGCACTAACTCGTGTTTGCCACATGTCTACTTGCTTTGGTGTGAGATCAGGAATTGACAGGCCTAACCGGGAAGCCAAAGCTTCAACATAGCCTGCAAGTCTTAAAAAACACGACAAGGCAGCAGAATACAGGTTTTTAAATGGACACACAAATGTTCTCAGATAGCAAAAAACTAATTACTACAAATAGAAACAAGACAATTTTATACCTGTAATTGTAACTCTAGAAATTGCCTTAAAAATTTTTTTTAATTTTCGTTTTTTATTACATGTAAATACACCCACTTTAAAAATTTCTATAGTACCAAAAAAAAAGGGGGTCCTCCAAGGCCGAGAAGGGAGCGTGTTGACATGTTGTGGGGTTCTTAACCAATGTCATAAAACAATATGTGTACTGTTTAATGAGAAAATATTTGTTCTGTAAACCTTCACCTAAAGTACAATAAAAAAAATTTCTATATTAATATATTTAATATAGGTTGATTGTGCATTGAGTTAGAGCAATTATTCTCTACCATTACTAAAAACAGACCAACTCAAGGGATATAAAAATAATTTACTAACATTTACAATTTCTACACTTCTTCCAAATTCAAAGCAAAGCACTTTAACTTATGATAGAAATTCATAATTGACATCATAAAGCAAAAGTTTCAAAAATTCTCATATACTAAGAAAAACAGCCTAGAATTTTCAGAGCAATGTCAAGTATTTTATCAATTCTAAGTCAACTTCACTTATGGAACGTAATCTTATTTTCCAAACTATAAGAAAAAATTGCCAAATACACTACACATACCATCAATTATAAGATGAATCCCCATTATCAGAAATGTTGAATTACAAAAAAATGTACATCTAAGAATCAATAGAATGTGACATTTAAAAAAAGGGAGAGAAGTAGTTCTTAAATACACAAACTCCCAACAAAAATCTTTATATCTAATAAAAAATAATTGCATTACGATGCAATCTAAAAATAAATGGCTTAATCTATTAGATCATGTGGTTTTATTAAATATATTAGAAAGCTATCACAGTAGCTACAATATTATTATTATTCACCTTTAATGTTGGGAACTAGAAAATTGAATATTTAATCGTGATAGATTTATGCCAGAAATTACAGGAATATAAAATTTATGGCTTGGCCTCAAAGCAAAGAAACTTTATTTTTAATAGTAGCGTTGGCTGCAAACTCCAGAGCACAGACTAATATATAGAGCTGCCTTTGCCTAGATTATAGAGCTAAGTAGACTCCTACCAAGCCCAAAACTAAATCTTAAAATTTACCATTCTAAAGAGCCAAAGGAAGAAACAAAGTCAATGACAGTGCATGAGACTGTGTTTATCACAATACCTAATTAACGCCGACCTGGTCTAATTTGTACACCCCAGGCTTTCCCTAAACTCAGGAAGAAGCCGCAGGTCATCTGCCACTTAGAAGAGATGTAAAAAGAAAAAAAGTTGGGTATTTTCTGAGGAAATAAGACATCCTCAGTTTGTCCCCTCATTCTGCCACCCAGAACAACGAAAACAAATTCTAAAGAAGTCAAACCTATGTACACTTTGGTTATTATTTTCTTTGAAAGTTTCACTCTTTAGAAAACATGCCCAGTCAGTAGCCTCAAACTTGAGCCATGTTCTTTATCTTTGAGCTTAGCAGGAGAGAACTGAAGGGTTATGATGATGTGGGTCCCTGCTTTAAATCCTGTCTCATCCTTGAGAATATCCACAAAATGCATATTAGTACCTCAATAAATGAAAACGCAATTTTGCTTGGATTGGATTTTTGACAGGTTTTTTTTTTTGGCGGGGGGGGAAATGTATGTATCAGAATCAATTGAAAAGATTATTAAACACAAATGCCAGGGCCATATGCTCATGGAAATCAATTCTGCATGTCTGAGGTGCAACGCAGGCATCTGTATTTTCACGAGCTCCCTGGGCAATTCTGATGCACAACATAGATTTAGTACTACTGATTTAGAATATTAAATATAAAATTTTAGTTATAAAACACAAAGAGTAAAATATATATCCTTTGTTTTTTTTGGTCACGCTTCTCAATTAGAGGAGGAAGGAGAAAGAGAGTGAATACACACATGCACAAATGAATAAATTAATGAACCTACCCAAGTCCAGCTAAATCTGACACAAGATTTCCCAAAGCAGCAGCTAAAAGATTGAAAAATGACAAGTGAGTTGCTATATAAAAGTCAGAAAATCATTACATCATTATATAATCAATAAAACACTGGCCTGAAAGAGTTACCACATTTCTCAAATTATAACACTTTATCCAGAGTAACTCACTGAATAGCTCTGAATCTCATCACTTTGAAATAGACGCAATTTTTCTGAGATTATAGTATTCTGTCTCCATTAAATAGTAGGGTTTTTTCTGTTTGGGCAGCCAGTTTTGGTTTAGATATTAAAACACCTATATAATAATATTTTGTCTTTTATCTTTCAGGTAATATTTGTTTAAAAAAAAAAAAAAAGCCCATTGCCGCCGAGTCAATTCTGACTCAAAGCGACCCTACAGGACAGAGTAGAACTGCCCTGTAGGGTTTCCAAGGAGTGGCTGGTGGATTTGAACCACTGACCTTTTGGTCAGCAATCAAACACTTAACCACTGTACCACCAGGGCTCCATTTGTTTAAAGGAACTTGGATATTTGGAAGTTGAGGAATAAAGCCGAATGTATAGGTCTGAAATTCAAGAAAGACAAGAAGAAATGCTGCTTTTTCATTAACTCACCTACCTCACGCTTTCTTTACAATAAGCACAACACAGAACCATTCTCAAATTTCACCTACCTCAAGAATAGAGTACTGGAACAATCAGAATGCAATTAATGAGAATGGTTATAGATTGCCAAAAATGTAACTAATGTCACTAAACAACTTGTGTAGAAACTGTCAAATGGGAACCTAATTTGCTGTGTAAACTTTCACCAAAAACACAATAAAATAATATTTTTTTTAAAAAAATTCAAAGCTCTTCCTGAGAAGGGCACTGAGACACGCTGAGTTTCTACTAAGTGTCAGGCACTATGCATGCATTATTTCATTTACCCATAGGGAAATGTAGGCAACGTTATCCCATGTTAAGGTAACTGAAGCTCAGAAAGGTGGCCTAAAGCCTCACCTAATAAGGACAGAGTCAGGAAAATAGCAAAAACCAGAATGTCCATGATTTTAGCTTTCTGACAGATAAAATAAAAATGGAAAGAAAAAAAAAAAGAATAGAGTCGTAATGGAGGAAGGAAAAGATGAAGCCAAATTAGATTTTCAATCTTGTATTCCCTGGTTTAATTCTTCTACCAAACTGAACGATAAATAATTTAATAGAGACACAGGGTAGGGAGGTTTTGGATGTAATATACTGAACTAAGAGAAAAACTTGTTTTAACATAGTCAATGTAGCAGAGCATTGTTGTCCATAAACAAAGAAAAGTACCTAAAATTTCTCAGGAAAAATGTGCTACGAACACAAAATTAAGAGGAAGAGTAGCATTAAGGAGATAAACTAACAGGCATCTCAATGAGTAAACCTATTCAAAAAATTATTCTCTTCTAAACCTAACCTACTGAAATATTTTATAAATATACAGCCAATAGAATAATAACATTACTATTATTAAATACCTGCCATAGTTGAAATTCCAAAAATAATTCCAATAGACATCTCAATTTGGGTTCCCTGAAAAATGATTACAAAGAAATTAATCTTAAAAGTTAAAGCCAAAGTGACTACAAAAGAATAACAAACCAATAAGAAAAACAGGTAAAAGTTAAACCAATGTGTTACTGTAGCAAAACTATGTAATAAAACATGCAAACATATTACAGTAATTCACTTATTTATTAAATATTTGCATTCATGCAGAAATAACATCAATACTATTTTATTCATTAAAATCAGACTTCCATAAAAATAAAAAATAGCAACACATATAGCAATATAACTCATCATTAAGAATCTAGAATTTATATTTTTCTATCAGAGAAAGATGCTTTAAAACTCTTGAACACGAAGAAGATTAACTCATAATTTTAAACCGTGAATGATACATCTATACTATCTATTTACTGTGTTAAAAAATTAAAAAGACTAACTAAACCAATTTCTAGGGACCCAAAAAAATCAAAGAGCTCTTAAATTATTCTTATAACACTTAGTTCTCTATTAAGTAGTGAAAGGATATAATTCATTTATAAGCAGCAACATTTAGTAGAACAGATTTATAGTAAAAATGAGGCCCCACTGTATTTCCACTGTATTTATTTTATTTATTGAGAGTTTAAGACACTCTACATCTATATCATCATTTCTCTGAAGAAAAGAGGGGCTAGTATTCTTACTTCCACACTAAAAAGGATACAACTGAGGTTAGAGATTACACTATTCTAGTCTAACGGATTATTTAGTAGAATAAAGAAGAAATTCTGCAGTCTGTTGTGCCTAACCCAGTTCTAATCCTTGGACAATGCTGCCAAGTAGACTTAATTTTCAAGAGCTCTTTTGAATACTGATACTTAAAATTTCTAGAAAATTAAAAAATTACAAACGATATTTGTGGAGGAAAAATAAGAGAATATCCTATCTAGTATTTAGAAATATTTTATTATCCATCAATTCTTTACAAAACAGAAGAAGAAGCTGAGTTAAATTTTACTCAATTTTCTCTCCCCTAGGACTTTTGGTTGCACTCCTTTATGATATAAATTTTTGCTGAATATAGACCAAACAGCTGGATGCACAAATATCTACCAGGCACTTAAAATTATAAGGGTGTGAAACTATCCAAAGAAACAGATTTCTGAAGAGGAAAAATGAAAAATGAAAAAAAAAAAAAAAAAAAAAACAGGCCCAGAGAAAAAGAATGAGGATGTGTATCTTTATATATGAAAGCAAAAGAGCTGCAGCACTTACAGAGAAGAGAGGTACATGATAGCTACAGTATATTAAAATAAATTTAAAAAAAAAAAAAAACCATTGCCATCGAATCGATTCCAACTCACAGCAACCTTATAGGACAGAGTAGAACTGCCCCATAGGGTTTCCAAGGAGCGGCTGATGGATTCGAACTGCCAACCTTTTGGCTAGCAACCGAAAACTTAACCACTGTACTACCAGGGCTCCATTAAAATAAACACAGCCTCTTTAATGACAGTGAATCACTGGGAATAACCCAAAAAGAATCTGTTTGCAATACATATATATAAAAAGTATTTAAGTGCATAATCATTTGGTTGAATTTAAGAAGCTTGAAATTCCTTCTAACAGCAAGAAAAGCCTTATACAGTCAAAGAGAGTTTGAGGGCAACGGACTATCGACTTCTTCATCTCCCTTGTTGTTTTTGTTGTTGTTGTTAGATACCATCGAGTCGCTTCTGACTCATAGCGACCCTATAGGACAGAGTAGAACTGTGCCCTAGAGTTTCCAAGGAGAGGCTGGTGGATTTGAACTGCCGATCTTTTGGTTAGCAGCTGAGCTCTTAATCACTGTGCCACAAGGGCTCCCTTAGTTATATCAAATTCTATGTTATGTTAGAAGATGAGGTAGAAGTTATAAATAAATTGAATACTAGTTGTCTTAAGGTCATATGTGGCTTAGCACCTTAATACAATTAGTCTACTTCAAAGGTCTAGTAAATTCTGTCCTAATTAAATTGTAAGAAAAATAGTCCAAAAAATCTCCCACAGAAACTTCTGTTATAAAAAGCAATTCAATAATATCAAAATGTAGTAACAAGTTATGAAATCAACTTAGTACAAACAGCAGCTAACACGTCAAATCTATTACAAGAAGCTATGTAGGAATTCGTTTTTATGATTACAACCAGGGTAGCAGCCAGAATAGTACACCTAACTGGAAGGAGGAAAATATGAGATATCTATGGCATGACAGAAAAAAAGAGCCAAGTATCTATCTCCTTAACTTACTACCTTAAGACAGTCATAGCTGTCCTACAACATTAGGAGGCAATTAGTATTTTAAAAAGATGAAAAGGTGTTCAAGTGGCAAGTGTTCTGTTATATACATATATACGTACCACACACACAAAAAAGATAATAAGGTGAAAAACATTCTTATGGTAACAATGATCACTTATTTCCTTTTCTATATCCTTGAGTTATATTATTCATGTATTTTAGTCTCAGCAGTCTATTACAAAGCTTCTCTGGAAAACTTCACTGTCTCTGAATTAGCCTGCAATTATCACAGGATAATATTTTTGCCACACCTATTACTTTTAATCAGGTATTGAAGTCAGTGGTTTACAACAATAATTTCAGTATTATGTAAACAAAAGCTGGTGAAAATCCCCTGAAACTGAATTTCAATGCAAATCAGAATAACAAGTATTACTAATTTAGAGTCAACTATTTTGGGTCTATAAAAAACAGTCCATACTCAGTTACACTAATGATGAGGCACAGGCATGGATAATGCAAAATAGTGACCAACACTACAATAATTTGACTTTACAATGTGTGTGTACGTAGAGGAGGAGGGTTAGTTTTATTCTGTTTTTTTTTTTTTTTTTTGTATTTTTGGTATCTATATTTAAACACAGATATCTTCTAGGTATTTATTTCAAAGAAATGATTAGCCCATTCGGTAAAGGTCTTACTCAGGATCTAAGACGTTAACCAGTTTCCCAATTCTAATTAATCTCTCTTCAAAATCTTTCTGCAACCCTCTCTATGCAAAATACATCATCTCAACACTTTCCTGTAGCAAGAACAGTGTTCCAGCATTTGAATATCTAAGGTCTGTCCAACCGAGATTAAAAAAAAAAAAAAAAACTGGCTATTAAGATGATAGTATGGGTACTGATTGTCAATAAGGAGGATCTAAAATGTTAAGTGAAATCATGTAAAATTCAAAAAATATTTGCCACAGAGAAGTTTTAATTGAGACAATCTGTTCAAGAACACATCAAAACTTAATAGTTCTAAATTAACTATTCATGATTGTGACGGTTAAGATTGTGTGTCAACTTGGCTGGGCCATGACTCTCAGTGTTTATATGTGATCACTCCCATGACGGGATCCGTTGTGAGTAGCCAATCAGTTGAAAGGGAGTTTCCTTGGGGGTGTGGCCAGTTCCAAATATAAGCAGACGTTCTGGCTTTTTGCTCACTCTGGATCCTGCGGCTGCCTCCTGTTCGTCTGACCTCCGGTTCTTGGGACTTGAGCTATCAACTTATCTGACGATCTTGGGAGTCATCAATCTTCACAGCCCTTGAGCGGGAGTCCTGCTCTTCGATCTGCTGGTCCTGGGTTTGCCAGCCCCTGCAGCTACATGAATCAGGAGAAGCCTTGCGGTCTTGCCTGCCAGTCTTGGGATTCATCAATATTCACAACCTGTGCACAAGAGCCCTGCTTTCCGACCTGCCGATCTTGGGTTCGCCAGCCCCTGTGGCTATGTGAATCAGGAGAAGCCTCTATCCTAATCCACGGACTTGGGATGTTCCAGCATCTACAATCGTATGAGCCATTTCTTTGATACAAATCTCTCTCTATATATATTTATATGTTTTACTGGTTTTGCTTCTCTAGAGAAGCCAGTCTAAGACAAGCATAATGGAGTTTTTATTACAATTAGATCTGATTTACATTAACTATTGAAATAATCTAGCTAACTCAGATTTTAGTATTTCCAGATATGCCAGTATGGGTCTAAACGGTTGAATAAGTTTATCACATTTACAGATATATAAACTGACCGATTTGATTCTTCTATACATAGCAGAAAAATGCTATAATCAGTCAAAAAACTAGCATTTTGAAATTATAGTTTACAGATACTCATTTAATCTGTGGCTACCTTTAGAAATCTGGTCTTGCTAGATTACTAAAGAATTCTCCATCAGGTGCTTATCATCTTCAAGTTGTGTGCACACTACAGTAGTTTCTGGGATTGTTTATGTAGCAGGATCCCTTCGTGCTGTGAGAACCTTCTACTTTCCTCAACTAGGCAAATGGCTGAACTTTCTGGATGTCTGATCCCCATCTATCTAGAGATAAGGTTAGACTAGCTAGCAAACAAAACCATTCTTGAATGAACCAATTTTAGGTATTTTTAAGCAAATTTTACCGTTTATATAATATAAATTACTTTTTTTTCTCTTCCTATTTTGAACCCAAATCCTCTATTTACATCCATCTATATAACTCCGGTGGTGCAGTGGTTAAGAGCTACAACTGCTAACCAAAAGGCTGGCAGTTCGAAACAGTCAGCCACTCCTTGGAAACCCTGTGGGGCAGTTTTACTCTGTCCTATAGGGTTGCTATGAGTCAGCATCAACCTGAAGCAATGGGTTTGGTTTTTTTAATAGTACATGTGATACCCAAACACCAAAACACCCATGTCTCTCCTATATATTTTTCTTAACACTCAATGATCTTAAGATAGCTCTAATAATATAATCCCATTTTTTTAACTGAGCAATCTCTTACAATATAGATATTATTTATAGAATTTTTAAGTTAGAATCAGCGAAGCTTAGTGTGACAACAATCTAACTCAGAAAAGTTTCTAGTTATGAAGCACTTTCATTCTTCTCAAATGAGTATAAAATACTCCACCTGAGAGCAGTCCTATCTTGTTGTTGTTGTTAGGTGTGCTACAGTCGATTCTGACTCGCAGCCACCCTATGTACAAAAGAACAAGACACTGCCTGGTCCTGCGCCATCCTCACAGTATTGCTGTTTGAGCCCATCACTGCAGCCACTGTGTCAATCCACCTCTTTTTTTCGCTGACCCTCTAACTTACCAAGCATGATGTCCTTCTTCAGTGACTGGTCCTTCCTGATAACATGTCATGTAAAGATCAATATCCTAGGCATTAGTGAGCTGAAATGGACTGGTATTCGCCATTTTGAATCAGACAATTATATGGTCTCCTACGCCAGGAATGACGAATTGAAGAGAAATGGCATTGCATTCATCATCAAAAAGAACATTTCAAGATCTATCCTCAAGTACAATGATGTCAGTGACAGGATAATATCCATATGCCTACAAGGAAGACCAGTTAATACCAGTTATTCAAATTTACGTACAACCATTAATGCCAAAGGAGGAAATTGAAGATTTTTACCAACTTTAGCAGTCTGAAATTGATTACTCATGTAATCTAGATGCACTGATAATTACTGGTGATTGGAATGTTTGAAAGTTGGAAACAAAGAAGATGGATCAGTAGTTGGAAAATATGGCCTTGGTGACAGAAACGATGCCGGATATTGCATGATAGAATTTTGCAAGACCAATGACTTATTCATTGCAAATACCTTTTTTCAACAACATAACTGGTGACTATACACATGGACCTCACCAGATGGAATACACAGGAATCAAATCGACTATGTCTGTGGAAAGAGACAAAGAAAAAGCTCAATGTCATCAGTCAGAACAAGGCCACGGGATGACTGTGGAACGGACCATCCGTTGCTCATATGCAAGTTCAAGGTGAAGCTAAAGAAAACTAAAATAAGTTCATGAGAGCCAAAGTACAATCTTGGGTATATCTGACCTGAATTTAAACAACATCGCAAGAACAGATTTGATGCACTGAACACTAATGACCGAAGACCAGATAAGTTGTGGGATGACATCCAGAATATCATACATGAAGAAAGCAAAAGGCCATTAAAAAGACAGGAAAGAAAGAAAAGACCAAAATGGATGTCAGAAGAGACTCTGAAACTTGCTCTTGAACATACAGGGCTAAAGTGAATGGAAGAAATGATGGAGTAAAAGAGCTGAACAGAAGATTTCAAAGGGCAGGTTGAGAAGACAAAGTAAACTATTATAATGAAACGTGCAAAGATCTGGAGTTAGAAAACCAAAAGGGAAGAATGCACTTGGCATTTCTGAAGCTGAAAACAGCTGAAGAAAAAATTCAAGCATCAAGGGGCAATTCTGAAGGATTTTATGGGCAAAATATTAAACGATGCAGGAAACATCAAAAGAAGATGGAAGGAATGCACAGAGTCATTTTACCAAAAAGAATTAGTCAATATTCAACCATTTCAGGAGGTAGCATATGATCAAGAACCAATGATACTGAAGGAAGAAGTCCAAGCTGCACTGAAGGCATTGGTGAAAAACAAGGCTCCAGGAATTGACGGAATACCAACTGAGACATTTCAACAAACGGATTCAATGCTGGAAGCATTCACTCATCTATGCCAAGAAATCTGGAAGACAACTAGCTGGCCAGCCAACTGGAAGAGATTCGTATTTGTGCCCATTCCAAAGAAAGATGATCCAAAAGAACACAGAAATTATCGAGTCCTATCTTAGTGTCCAGAAATAAGTCATTGATATTTTTTTCTCCTTCCCACAATGTAAGTAATAGACCTTCAAACCACTTATTGCTAATATCTGAAAGGAAAGACTTCATATAAAATATTTTAAAAATATGTACTGAAAGTTGATCGTTGCCTTTTTAACTGGACTATGATCAATTTATTTTATTTGGACAAAATAAGAGAGAAGTGGATAGAGTACTGGGCAGTTTTAGGAGACTTGCGTTTTAATCATGGACCTATTTCTGACTTTAGAATCCGGACCCAATATTGGTATCCATGAACAAAAGGTGCTATGTAACAGTGAGAAAGGTAAGTCTACCATTCATGACACTAAACTAAACAACACTTTTAAGGAATATCTTTACATTAACATGACCACAGGAAAGAAGAATCATTTTTTTAACACTACCATAGAGCAAAGGTAGAAGGGGAATATGTTCACAATGTTCTGAACTGAAACTTAAAACACCTTTGGGTTAAATGGCTAGACTGTGTATGGAAACACCCTTTAAAACAAATTTGCATGGGAAAATTGAACGAGAAAATAATAGAAAAATCTACATATGTGATAAGAAGTGCCTATACAATTAATTAAATAGCAGAAAAATTTTACATACTTTTTTCTTCTTTAAAGAATGTTAAAACTAGGACAGGATAATACAGACCCAATAACTATGTTTTTATGATAGACTAAATGCTTTTCCAAAAGTCTAAATGATTAATATATATGATGCCTTAAAATTTAGCTATAGCCTAACTAATATGAAATACAGTAAAAATTAGCCTCGTTCATTATGGTGTTAATTAAAACTTTATAGCTACAATATGCAGATTATTAGGAAAATTTTGACCACATTTATTTATTTATTAACTCAAAATAGAAGAAGTGAGGAAAGAACTTACTGCAACAATCATAATTGCATTATCCAAAAAGCCAAACCCTACAAAAGGTATCGCATTGTGGATGAATACTGAAAAACACCAAAAACAGAAAAATATATTTTAACATCTCTATAACTTTAGAATAACAACAACAACAAAACTCATATGATTAAGGTCTCCTAAATAGATCTAATAATCTTTGGAATTTGTTTTTCATTCCCATAGTCAAAAGATTCTGCTAGTGCTATAAATTTAACTACTTGGTAGAAGCTATACTGGGAGAGGGAAGAACATATAACATGTAAAAATACTTGTGTTAAGCTTTTGTGTTTTCTTACTGGCGACACACACACAAATAAACAATTAATGGCAGAACAAATTAGTAAATACATGTTAAATACCATGTTTTACCTATTTATTTGCTACTGACAGCAAACTGTTTGTCTCATGCCTGAAGACTAGTAACATAAAATTGCTATCAGTATTAGAAATAATGAAATATTCCCTGAATCAAATTTCAGGGATGCTATTTGGTGACTTTTACTCACTAACCAACTTTTTTAAACAAACATTAGAAAACTGTGATTATCTTATCTACATGCCATCTTTTTTCCCTTCTAAGATCATTATCCATAAATGCTTTCTCAAACTATAAACAAACAATATCTGATTCAAATAAAATATGTAACTTGGCCCCTTCCTACCAAACGCATACCTTATCTCAACTACCTAGTATATAATCTGAATGACCTGAAATGATATTAGAAGTATAACTAGGAAGAACTAATACCTATATATTTTTTTTTCGTATTTGCATCTTCAGCACATTGCAGAACACCTAGTGCACAGTAGATGCTCAATAAACATTGATTAAGTTGAGGACCACTAACCTGGAACAGAAGAGAATTCCAGATTGAGGGAACTGAAGGCATACTGTGAAACAGATTAAAAACTGGGGATAGTTAAAAAACTTTATTCTAATTAATCTATAAAACTGCCAAGGTACAGTCAACATTAGTGCAACGGAGGACTTTTTTTAGATAAACATAAAAATTGTGAGTTTTACACTACATCCAAAAAAAGTCCCTTTAAACCAATTGGTTCAATAACATCAGAGTCTTTTTTCTTTAAATGCAGGTAAATCCAAAGAAAAATATAATCTAGAAGTTATGAAAGTTCGATATTACAATGATGAGTTCTGCACCAACCAGGGAAGGCAAAATTCAAGCAGTAAAAAAAACATTTCTACCCACAAGTACTATCAAAGATTAAAATCAAGGGAAAATAGTATATATCCTAGATCATTTCAGATTTTTTTTTTGTTATTAAGTAAGAATGTCCAAGATAAAAAGCAGCATCTTTTTAATTATAAAAAAAATAGTATTTTTAAAACTGGCAATGATAAAAAAAAATAGTAATTAATTAAATGACATCTTTCAATTAAAGAGCCTAGCTTTAGTTCTTTGACTTTTTACCTAAGTCTATTTGCTTAACTATTAGACGTTTAAAATTTTATAAACAGCTTCCAAAACGTATACATAATCCAAATTCTCAAAAACGAAAACCTAATTTAATAGGCCAAAAGAGTGTAATAATTTTTTTTTTAATTTACTAAATGAAACATTTGCAGTGAAGAGAAAGCTATTTAAATATATCTCTGGAGGGAAGTTTCCCAAATAATTTTCTCAATCACCTTTGAAACATAAATATTGCAAAGTAACTATGAAACTTTTAGGACTACTTAACAATTTCGGATTTATCTGATGGTATCTCTAAAACTGACCAGTTACAAATACCTTAAAATACATTTGTTAAGGCCATTAAATTCAGACTAGACTAACTGCTACCCTAGAAAAAATGTGGTCAGTGAAAGGAAGGCACACTGCTACAATAATCACACTGAACTATAAAATACATCATGTTTTTAATGCTTAGACCTAGACAAATATGTCCTATGAATAAAGTTTATTTTTAACGCAACAGAAAAAATATAATTTTTCAATAAGTTAAATTAACATGTTAAAAAAACAACAAAAAGACAGTTGCCGTGGAGTCAACTCCAACTCATGGCGACTCCATGTGTGTCAAAGTAGAACTGGGCTCCATAGGGTTTTCAATGGCTAATTTTTTGGAAGTAGACTGCCAGGCCTCTCTTCAAGGCACCTCTGGGAGGACTCAAACCTCCGACCTGTCAGTAAGCAACCGACTGCGTTAACAGTTTGCACCACTGGGAGCTTAATATGTGCCAGGCACTTCACCGGATTCTTGAGATACAAAGATAAATTAGACTTGGTCCCTAGCCCTCAAGGAGTTTAGCCATATAAACACAGCCATATAAACAGTTAATCTCAATATGATCTTAAAAATATAATGATAATAGTATATATACGGTACTATGGATAGATTGTAGGAATCTAGGCTGGGAGAGTCAAAGAAGATTATCTGAGGAAAATAAATCTTAAAGGATTCTTAAATTTGCTTTAGAATTTGAGAAAAGTTACTAATTTCTAATATAAATTATCTTCTACCCCCATGAAAGAAAAAAAAGAAAAAAGAAAACCCTGGCTATTAGTTTTTTTGTTTGGTTTGGTTTTGGGTTTTTTTTTTTTAAATGATATACTTGCTCTCCAGTATGTAATTCAATCTTACTTTTTGTGATTTCTTCAATTTCCTTTGGCAAACACTATTTTATAATTCAGCTGTTGTTAACAAATCACATTTAATATTTAACTTTAATTTACAACCTACTCAAATTAACTGTACTGTTAAATAATTCTCTTCTTTCTTTGTCTTTATAATAAAATCCCAAAATGTTTTACGTTATTTCAGTGTTAGCCTTGAATAATTTTTCCTATCATAGTAGAGTAAAAAAAGCACACCAGCAGCATTGTAAGGTTTCTCCTTTCTGGTGGTTTGAAAAAAACTTCACTGTCTTCATTACTGCCAATAACTAGCCAGAAGTATTTTCTCCACCAGAGAACAGTTCAACTAGCCTTGGGCCTAGAAATTCTAGTTCTATAGTAACCCAACTTAAACCCAAACCAAATATGTCCTTTTTCATGGGAATTAAGAAAACTTCTTCATAAGTATAATTGTATTTCTAGATGGTAACAATATTTTAATAACAATATTAGATTTTTAGAAGATATTAAATATTACATAATGTTGTGATATTTTTTAAACCAAGTTTATAAACTTTGCTCTTCAGCAAAATAAATAGGACAATCCACTCTATCTGGAGAGCTTTAACTGACTCTTCTGTACTATTGATGAATGACACAAGTTATCTCAAATCCAAGAGATAGCTGAAAAAATATTTAACAATTTTAGAACCATTACCATATCTCAGCTGTCCTGGGGTGGGTGGTGGAGCTTCCAATTTTTCTAAAAGGAGAAAAAAGGGTGTGGGGCAAGAATTAGTTACTATAGCATGATTTTTCTGTATTACAATGAAGAAAATACCAGCAGATTTACAAAGGAGGAGAACATCAGAATTTATTCATAAATTATCTTTAGGTTAATGGACCAAGGTCATCCATACAGAAAATATTAATTGGTACAGGTTAAATTACAAGGCTAGAAACAAAACTGAGCTTTAATTACAAGCCTACCTTGGGCCCTATGGCCCTCGCTAAGTCATTTTTTTAAGTCCTTGCATCTACATAATGACACTGTATGCATTAATTACAGTAAAGAAACACTAGAAATGACATCATCAGAAATATAGGTACTCTCCTTTAAGATGGCAAACCTAGATGACTTAAAAATATATTTATAAACAAACAACATAGCAGGTAAAAAAAAGAATATTCAAATAGACCTAGATGGTGTTTAAAAATAGGAAAATACTTTTAAAGCAACTTATTACAATACTGACTTCCCTGGATTGTGTCCTGTTCCTTAAATAATCCAAAAAAAAAAAAAACCAAACCCGCTGCCATTGAGTCAACTCCAACCCATAATGACCCTATAGGACAGAGCAGAACTGCCCCATATGGTTTCCAAGAAGTGCCTGGTGGATTCGAACTGCCAACCTTTTGGTTAGCAGCCATAGCTCTTAACCACTACACCACTAAGGTTACCTTTCCTCAAATAATCTCCCTTGATAATACGCTGAGTATTTTCCATTTCTGGAACCTATACTACTGGATCGTAGAGAGTAAAGCATCTTTTTTTGTATACAATAAAAAAAAAGTAGGATGCTATTTAAAATCACAAGTAACAATATAAAAATACACGTCATAATTACACAAAGTTTTTCCAAAAAAGAATCAAAGTATTTTTAAGTGTCATCATTATATCTAAAAAAAAAAAAAAAAAAAATTATTACAAAATAGTACTACTTAATCTCTTAACAATAACTATCTCACCATTTGTACAAATTCAAGAGTAAACTATGGTAAAATGGTAGGGAATTCTACTTTCTTTACCCTCAACCAATCCAACAGAATGAATTGATAACATATAGAGAAGAACTCACACTGCGAATCATTCTACTCTATAAAGATTTAGTACAACCAGATTGTCCAAGGAAACCTATAAACAAGATATACATTTTCTAAAATAATTATTTATAATTTATAACAACACAAAAACTAAGGAATTTAGGTGAAAAAAAACCAGCAAATAAATCTCTAAAGATAAGCTATATAAAAAAGAAGGATAGTCCATATTTATGACTGGAATTTTACTTAAAAAGCATAGTATCGTAATGGCTCTAAAATAAGAAGTAGTTTAATCAACTATTATATTTAGAAAGTTCTAAGAATGGAAGTTTAAGTTTTTCTTTTTAGACGAATTAAGAAATGAAGACATACTAGTCATTGCATAATTCCACATCTGATTAAAATAAATAGTATATTCTCCATTCTTTGACTAGAATTATCAAAATCCACCTTGAAAGTATGCAAATCGTTTTCCAAAATTTTAAACAAGGAATACAGGTTACCACTGTACTCCACAGAGTTTTCTGGTGAAGTAACTAAGCATGCAAAAGCAGTTACGTACCAGCTCTATTTGTTAGCTGCATTACTCTCATCGTCACTATAGTTCTGACACTGTGATAAGTCCTTGTCAGATGCCTGGAACATCTTGAAACACCTAAAACTTCAACAAGCACGACTTTCCCAATAGACTGAGAATATAAAAAGTCCTTCCTTTTATTTCTTCAAACTCCCTACACATTCATCAAAATATTAAAAATATTCCACAATTCCTAAGAAGGAAGAACAAGGGTTAGGTAAATAGATAATGTGTAGTGGTAAAGGGGAAAATTCAAATAATGTAATCAGTCTTCCTAATCTTTCTTTCCTATTACAAATTAAAGGTAATAAAACTTGAGGAAGAAAGAGAGAGGGAAGGAGAGAGAAAAGTAGCGGAGATAGAACAGGGAGAAAAACCACTGGCACAGAGATGAAAGTAAAATCAAAGCACAGATTCTGGCTCCTGCTTCGCAAAGAACCTAAGGAGTAACAAGAAGCATGAAAGGAACATTTCCTAGAATGCAGAAAGTTTACTGGAAAGTAACCATCAAAAATTTTTTAAATCATAAATTGATAATTTTGAAGACTCTAACACTGTAAATTATCTTCTTTATTATAATAACTGAACCAAAACAAAACACACATCAAAAATAAAAACATTAGAGGTAAAATACAATAGAACTCAATTTTTCAGCAATCTATACAGAGAGACTGAGGATCTATGAAATGGCGGGAGGCTACAGTAGGGTATGCCTACACATCATTTCATTCACGTGGATTCAGCATAGTGCTCAGTGTACAACAAATTCAAGTTTTGCTTTTTGGAACTTTGTCTTCCCTCTCCTCCCCACTACCCCCCTAATATTTTTGATCCACAGTTGGCTGACTCCGCGGATACGGATCCTGTGGATATGGAGGGCTGACTATAATGAGCTACCCATCAAGATTGTACTTCACCACCCACATGTGCCAATCCTTTTTAGCTTTAAAAAAATGCTAGATCTATTTGTTTTACTTTAAAAACAAATGCTGATTCTACTTCTAACACTGGCTGAGTAACCTCCTATCAGACCGATCCTCCTGATAGCAATCATAAACTATAATATATATACATATAGATATATACACGCATATATGTATACATACTTATATACATGCATATGTATGTGCATGGCATGTATAGATGGACGTATATATGTATACACATTACAGTCCATGAGAATGCTGAAAATGACCAAAAGTAGGTTGATTCTGGAGCAGAATCAATACTTAAAAGAGTGGAATAGCACTGAGTTGCCTCGTTTTGGCAGTTTTTAATCTGAGCATAGGCTCCAGTCGACAACACGTAGGGCAACTAAACAATGGTTCTTTGGGGAAAAAAAAAATCAACAAAATCAATAAACCACTAGCTAGACTAATCAAGAATGACAGAGAAGACACAAATCACTAATATCAGGAATAAAAGAGGAGACATCACTACAATCCTACATCCATTAAAAAATAAGAGAATATTATAAATAATTTTATGCCAACAAATCCAACAAATTAAATGCAATAGACAAGTTCCTTGAAAAATGCAACTTACTAAAACTGATATAAGATGAAGCAAAATATCTGAATATCCCTACCTATTAACAAAATTGAAATTGTTACCAAACACCTTCACACACATACACACACACACACACACACACACACACACACACACACACACAAACACTTCCAGGCCCAGATGATTTCACTGGTAAAGTCTATTAAAACATTTAAAGAAGAAAAAAACACCAATCTTATACAAACTCTCAAATTCTTTCAAAAAAAGGAGATGAGGAAATGCTTCCCAACTCACTTTATGAGCCAAGAGTAATTCTAAAAACAAATCTAACCAAGAAATTACAAAAAAAATAAGAAAACTACAGATCAATAAGCCTCATAAACATATACCCCAGAGTCTTCAACTGTATGATAACTGTTCTGCTTTCCAAAAGTATAAGTATTGACTCATTAATACCCAAAACCAAACCCACTGCCATCAAGTTGACTCTGACTCATAGCAACCCTATAGGACAGAATAGAACTGCCCCACAGGGTTTCCAAGG